GAAACAGAGAGAAAGATCAACCACTGGTTCATTCCTCAAATGTCTGCAATGGCTGGAGCTGGGCTGATCCAAAGCCAATAGTCAGGAGCTTCTTCTGGGTCTCCCTCATGGGTGCTGGGGCCCTAGGTCATGGGGCATATTCCACTGCTTTCCCAGGTGCACTAGTAGGAAGTTGGAATGGAAGTGGAGCAGCCAGGTCTTGAACCAGCACCCATATAGGATGCCAGGCACTGCAGACAGTGGTTTTACCCACTGTGCCACAGCGCCAGCCCAATTCATTCAATTTTGCAGGTACTGAGATCCCACACTGGGCCAAGTACTACATTAAGCATTTGCAAAACAAAAACTTTCTTCAAGAAGTTTACAATATGGTGATTGAAGAAGGCACTGACTAACACAAATGCCATAGTGGACACTTGAGTGGACACTCCAGGTTCCCCTTCAGGACAAAGCATTCCCTCCCCTAGCTTCCTACTAATGGCTCACTGCTGAGTCCTTCAGAGTAATTGCTCTCTGCTGAAGGAAGCTGCCTTGCCCAGTGTTACAGGCCCTGCCTGGAGAGAATCTGTATGAGGTATCAGTCAAATGTGTGTTGTAAAGGCCCAGTCCCATTGCCCCATTCCAGACAACTCTAAAGGCTCATCCAACGCCAGTGCACCCCATGGGATTATCCGAGACATCCCACCCAATTCCTTGACTTTTCACCCTCACGCTGGGAACATTCATCAACATGCCTCCTATAAGCAAACCTCAGTGTCTCAGAGTCAGTCCCTAGGGGAGCTTGTGGGGAGCAATTCGGACTAGACTAAGTTACTGGAATTAAGACTTATTCTATGCCTCTGCTCTCCCACAATATGGCGTTGGGAGAGAAGTAAACAGCTTCCGCACAGCTGCCTCCAGTTCAACCAATAAACTGTAGGACTTGCTCCTGATTGGAGAGCAGCGTACTCGGCGTGTGGGCAGCCGAGTTAGGATTGGCGGAGGAGGACTATAAAGGAGGAGAGAGACGGCATGCACAGGGAACATCTAAGGGGAACATCTAGCTGAAGGAACACCCGTGCAGCCCCCGAGAAGAGCCGGCCGGCGGTGTGCCGCTCCCCTGCGGAAGTGGGGAATGTGGCCAGGGGGAACTGCCCTTCCACGGAGGTGGAAGGGACAGTAGCCAACCCGGGAAGAACCAGCAGCAAACCCGGGGAGGGCCGAGCAGACGAAAAGAACAGCGCAGGGTCCTGTGTCGTTCCTCCATGAAGAGGGGGAGCGACAGAGCTAACCTGCGATCACCATCTAACATGCAGCTGTGCCAGGTATTCTGAAGCAAAGGTGCCTTGTGTTCTGGGTGCCTAGAAGGGTCATCTGGCCTGGTCATTATCAGTGAGTCAAGGATGAACACGAACTAACTAGGCAAAGAAGAAAGGGAGACTGTTCTATTCACAGCCAATGGCAGGAACAATGGCCCTGTGGTGAGAGAGGGACCATTAGGTTGATCCTGGGATGTGTGCTCATGCATAGAGAGGAGCACGCTGGGGCCAGGGGCCTTACAGATCAAGTGACGGTGGATTGTCTACATCCTCAGAGCAACGAGAGGTCATTGATGGGTCTTACACAGGGTAGTAACAAGGTCCTATCCAAGTACAGAAAATCAAATTTTTAGGATGCCAAGGTTACCTTAGTGCCCACAGCAAGCAGGACGGAGTGCTGGACACTCTCCTAGGCCTGACTTCCCCACTGCCTATGGCCTGTGTTGGGCCTAGTTTGAAAAATGGCTGAGCCTACAAGCAAGGGCCGGAGAGCTTTGTCTGAGCCCGGTGGGATCTGGGGGCAAAGAGCCAGCAAGACGATCATAGGAAGGCAGAGAATTTTTTTATATTTTTATACCACTTTGTCCACATATTTAAATTTTGTTGTTTAAGGTTTAAAATGGTGGAGGCTCACTGATTAGGGGTGTCTTCCTTCTTGATACAGGAGGAAACTGGAATCAGGTACAGAGCCAGGAATCAAACCCAGGCACTCTGATATGGGATATGGATGTGCCACGCAGTATCATAATTGCTGTGCCAAACACAAGCCCCCAGACTTCTTTTCTTTGTAAAGCAGCCTGCCTCAGAGATTTCAACAGAGTAATGAAAAATGAAGCAGTGCAGTTAACTAGAGTGAAGAAACTCCAGAAACACAAAGTGCATTTCATTTTATCAGTAGGTTTTATGTGGCACTGGCTTAGGCCTGATGGGTTTAGAGTAAGAGACCTTTTGCTTAATACCTTTAGTTCCACTGATGATATGATCACCTCAAGGCTGAAGAAACAGAATTGAACTTTTTAGGGCTCCTGGTTCAACTACTTTCTACAAATTGAATAAAACCGTTCCCTTGTTGTTCTTCAACTGACACATTATTCTATCTCTCTGTGTAGCTCACTGGCCCTTTTACCATTTCTATTTCTCTTTTCAGCAAGATTTTTCCCAGGAGAAGATAATTGAAATATCATTCAAATGCTCTCAGAGTAGGTTTCTCAAGCTGTTTAAGTACAAACATTCATTGGATTAAATTTTTTTTTAAATGCCCATTTAAAATGTGACCTGAAAATTGAAACACATTATCAGATCTAAAGATGAGTACGAGTTATGCAACAGAAAGCATGTTTGCTTCCCATTCCAGAGAATCTTGTACCCTGCCATCGTAAGGGGGTATTTTCCTCTCCCTACCACCTTCTTCCATGGAATTCTCAAAGCACATTTACTGTCACTGTTTCCTCCTCCCAAATAAACAGACTTCAGATGTAGCAGGAAGACTTAAGTTTCCGTCTATCATCTGAAACCTCATCATTTCTGTGGGAAGCAAGACTTGGAATGACTACAGCATTTGTCACAGGGTGTTTGGTAAGGTGAGCCTGTCACCACAACTTCTTCTTTATTGTCCTGAAAAGCCTGGGGATCTGGGGACTCCAAACACAGCCTCGTAACTTCAGATATTTCTGCCACCCAGAGATGGGCTGTTGGATCTCTCCTGCTGTGAGTCTGTCCCTGACTCGAGCCACGGGGCACCTAAAGTGGATGAGAACCTCATCGATATTACAGAGACCCAGGGAGGGCTTTCATGAACCATGTGCAGATGATGGCAGTGTGAGAGATGTGCCTGTGCCAGGAACGTGAGTTAGCTAAAGGTGAGATGTGGAAGAGGCCAAAGGGCAGTCAGAGCCTTGGAGTGCTGGAGGGCTCCCCACCGTGACTTCTAGCCCTCCTCCTTGGTGTTGGCATCTGACAAAATAGACTGCTAACCACAAATTTGATTTCTCAAACATTCTCAGGTCAAAACCTTCGATGTGACTTTCTTTCCCCAAATTCAGATTGTCTCCTCACCTCCTGAGGTGGTTTGACACTTTCGTAATGACAAGGGTGACATAAGTTAGAATGAGACAGCCTCCTAAGAGAATGTGAATTCTGTGCCATCTTTATCACAGGCTCCAAGGTGGCACTGGACAGTCAGTCTTGCTGCTTAAATTTCCTTTCCTTTCTATGTAGAATTGACTCCCCCACACTTCTCTTTGTTCTAAATTTTTTATTTTTTAAAGATTTATTTATTTGAAAGTCAGAGTTACACACAGAGAGAAGGAGAGGCAGAGAGAGAGCAAGAGAGAGGTCTTTCATCCACTGGTTCACTCCCCTGTTGGCTGCAATGGCAAGAGCTGTGCCGATCTGAAACCAGAGGCCTGGGGCTTCCTCTGGTTCTTCCCCCATGGGTACAGGGGCTTAAGCACTTGGGCCATTTTCTACTGCTCTCCCAGGCCATAGCAGAGAGCTGAATCGGAAGTGGAGCAGCCAGGACTCAAACTGGCACCCATTTGGGATGCCAGCACCGCAGGCGGCAGCTTTACCTGCTACACCACAGTACCGGCCCCTGTTCTAAACTTTAAAAGTCACTTGGAATTCTGCATCTAGAAAGAGCCTACAGAGATATTTTTCCTTATTCCTCCCTCTAGTTCAAACCCTTGATGTTATGTGTAAAATAAAGGAAAAAGACTCTGAAGAGGGGGCAGAAGAAGGCAGATCAGCTGTGAAATGTGGGACCCCAGGAAAACACACCAACCAAACACCACAGGGAAACAACTGCACATCCCACCCACTCTATGGCTGCAGACTGAGCAGGGAGCCTTGGCTGTTACCATCACCAGGCTGGCATGATTGCACTGCAGTGTCTCTGCTGGGGTGCTGACAGCGAAGGCCACATCGAGAGCTCTGGACTGCCCACTCGGGACTAATAAGTCTCACTCACACCCCACTCCCATGCACACACACAATGTCGGTAGGGCTTGACTTCATTCTACAGGTCTTCCTTCAATTCTTGTGAGATGACCTCAGAGAAGGCCATCCTATCCTGGGGTCCTAGTGTTCCTTTAGAAAATGTGTAGTGTCTGGGATCTCAAAAGAACCTTAATTGAAATGTCTTCTTTGGTTTATTTTGTCAAGACTTTTAAGGGAAATCTAAGTATTTGGACTGGGAAGTTTGCTGTGTAAATACCTCCACTGTATGTCTTATCACCAAAGTTCCAGATCCCAGCCCTAGCACAGTGGCTACCACATATATTGCTAATGAAGGAGTGACTGCCTGATGCACGTATGCTTGAATGAACAAACAAGCCTGAGATTATGCGTTCCTCTGTCTAACTTTTAAATCACTGCCACGTCGGGTTCCATTTTCTCTCTCCACTACTTGCTGCCATTGTTAGCACCGGCCTGATGCTCATTTGTCCTGACTGTAGTCAGCTGGGGTTCTTCTAGCCTAATCCTGATCCAGGGCCAGCTTTCACCTCAGCATTTGTGCCAGTGCCAGTTACAGCTCTGTTCCTGCTGTTTCCAATTTTTGCTTCCAATCTCTTCCTTTTTATGCTACCACCTGCTGTTTTTAGAGCCTTCTGCTATTGTTTCAAAACTGCTCTATCGAGTATGGCTGTCCAATCCCAATATTTTCTCTTAATCCACTTCCTTGCAAGATTTGTCTACATCTCACACTGTATCTTTATTTTTTGCCCTGTTAGATTTTTATATTTTGCTACTAAATGATTTTTGTCAGGCCATGAACATGAGCTATCACCAAGCCTATCTATCTCTTGTGTTTGACAAAAATTGAACTCAGTATACACTCAAGACAAGCAAGATACATGGGAGCAGAAATCTCTTGATGTCAATTGCACAGTGAGTGAAATATTGGAAATGAGAAAAGAGGACTAATATTTATTTTATCAGCAAACACTTGAAGTATTGTGTTTCCACAGTAGACACATGCTATGTGCTTAGGTCAAAGTAATGAGCAGAAGAGACAAAAATCTTTGCTTGATGGAGTTTATATTTAAGGGGATACTCACTATATGCCAGGCTTACTTTAGATAATTTACATATGTTATCCCATTTAATTATCATATGGACTCCATGAGGTAAGAGCCATCCCCAAATAGCATTGAGAACATTCGTTCGTGTGTTTGGGTCTTCGTTCTCTCACCTGTGATAGGTGAAGGTCAGAACAAGACATGAATAATTTGTAAGCACCTACTGGGTGCCTGGCACCTTGATAGGCTCTGTATAAGCTTTTCCTCACCAACCCTATGTAATGAATTGTCCCAATTTTCAAGTGAGAAATTCAGTGATCAGAATTCTAGAAAAACATGCCAATAGTCACATAGCTACTATGTGGCAGAGATGACTTTAAACCTACTGTTATCTGATTCCAGCTGCTAGCTGAGAAATGGATCCAGCTTCATGTTGCTGTTTACTGAGTACCTTTTATGTAAAATATAATACTATGGTACTGAGAAATATTAAAATCACAGAAGATAAAGTTTTTCCATGAATAACCATACAACCTAATGGGGAAGATAAATTTCATCCAAAGAATTACAATTAAAGAGATTTAATAAACTATGGGAAGATTGTATATGGCTCAGATTTAGGACACATAGAGTTTTGTCTTCTATCTCTTGATGATGCATATTGATTTTGAGGGCCTTTTGGAACACTGAAAAGTTTATGGCAAAAGGCAATTAGGTGTGTGAATATAGATCTCAGCCAGAAGATCGAGCTAACCTGTGGCAATGGGATTGGAGCTGTGGAGTGATTTCCAGATACGTTTGTTGAGGAGAAAAGAAGCTGGTCCAGGCAGGAGAATCCAAACAACACCAACATTCAAAGCCACGGTCCTCAAATTTGGCTTCATATCAAAATCATCTGGGACAATGTTTCCCACTCTTTTTTACCTTACGGCCTCATAGAAATTATCCTGTTAAAGAATTTCAGGCAGTTGAATCCAATTTCCACCATGACTAAGAGTCTCTGTAGAGCAAAGAATTATGACTTCCTTAGTTTTTCTTCTGTCTTGGGACAAAATAGAATCTCAGATGTTGTTAAGATGACTCCAATGCCTGATGAAGCGCCCAGTTGAAGAAGAGCGCAGGTACACTATGGGGGAAAAAAAAAAGCGGTAATTTTAAAGTTTTTAATGTTGTACCACTTCAATGTCTATGCTACAACAGGATTTTAGTTGAAGATTGTGCATGTTCTTCTTTTTATCTGACGCATAATTAAAGTAATATTTATGATGTCCTGGGGATGGGGAAGAAAACATCACTTTCTTATATTTAAGAAATAGAAGACATAGGAATGGCATAAAAACCCTACAGCTACATCCTGATGCTGGATGATACTTGTGTCATTCTTTTTTTTTTTTTTTAAAGATTTTATTTATTTAAGAGGTAGAGTTACAGACAGTGAGAGGGAGAGACAGAAAGGTCTTCCTTACATTGGTTCACTCTCCAGATGGCCTTAATGGCCTGAGCTTCGTCGATCTGAAGCCAGGAGCCAGGTGCTTCTTCCCGGTCACCCAAAGCATCTTCCAGATCTCCCAGGCGGGTGCAGGGGCCCAAGCACTTGGGCCATCTTCTACTGCTTTCCCAAGCCACAGCAGAGAGCTGAATTGGAAGGGGAGCAGCTGGGAATAGGACCGGCGCCCATATGGGATGTCAGCGCCTCAGGCAGAGAATTGACCTACTGCACCATGGTGCTGGCCCCAATACTTGTGTCATTTTAAACTGACTAGTGTAAGATAGGTCACCACCTCTGAGGTACCACTGTTTCCAGAGTTGCACCTGCTCCAGCTGCCTTCCAATCAGGCATGTGTTTACTATGTGCTGGTTCCTTCACCAAATGTGCTTGATCCAACTTATTTTCCCAGTCACATCCGGGGATCCAATATTATATAAACCCATTACTGCAGAACATATAAATGTTCTAAAAGATTTTATTTTGTATCTTATATGTATGAGTTATACACACTGCCATGCAATATTAAAGGAAAAATCTACATATAAACAATACAACTAGTTATCCAAGCGTCATACCAACTAAATCACCAAACAAGCCTTGAATAGTGAAAATAAATGAATCAATCAATAAATAAAACTACAAGGATGCCATCATCAAATTGCAGGCCTTTTGAAACTGATAGGAAATAATGACCCCAATTTTTTTCAACTAGATCAATATAAAATGCAAAGGGAGAAACAGAAAATATTAGGAGGGTCTTTAAAAAACTTAAAGATATCACAATGAATTCCAATTTCTATGTTATTTAGATTTCAATTTAAACATTCATTAAAAACTGTAAGAGAAGGAACTATGGAAATAAGATTGTTATTCGATTGTTATTAAGAAATCATTTCAAATTATATTTGATGAGATTACAATATTGTGGCTATATTTCCTTTCACAGAAATTCTAATATTCTATGTGATCAAAATTTTTACATATTGAATGAGATAAAGTCTGAGATGTGCTTCAATTTACCCAGGGGGAGGAGGTGGGTGTTGAAGTATAGAAAAAGTGAAAAAGTTGTGTATTGGTAACTGCTAAGAGGGGCTAAAGAGGTTGCATGTCCATCCAATTCATTATACTATTCCCTTCACTTCTATGTATACTTAAAAATTCAAAAAATAAAATGTTAAGAAATAAAAAAAAGTGCTTCTAAGGGTCAGCTAGAAGAGAGGAAATGTTAATTCTCTGAGAAGCAGTGTCTGGAAAAGGAAGAATTAGAGTGGAAGACGTCATGAAAACTAAGCAGTGCTCCAAACAGGAGAGAGAGGGTCAGAGTCACAGACGCTGGCAAGAAGTCCGGCAAGAGGGAGCTAAGTGTAAAGTGGCCAGCAAGTCATGGTGACAGCCACGCTGAGACACTCAGCAGGGCAGAACCCACTGTGTAGCAGCTACAGTGGGAGGCAGAGGGGAGAAAAGCAGGCATCCCACAGCTACAGCAAAGCGTCAGCTGGAAGGCGATGTAGCATTGAAGAAAGATTGTTTTCAAAGGTATTGGAACACGTTGCATTCTTGAGAAGGAACCAGTAAAGTGGACTAAGTTATAACGCATGAGGAAAATGGGATAATTTGATTGAGAGAAGTCCCTGAGGGTATGCGAATGGAGAGAGTGAAAAGTGGTGGACCTGCATCTGGAGAACAGCTGAGATCACTCCTGGAGGTTACCTAAGCTGTGTTTCCCCAAATGCACAATCATCGGAGTCACTGCAGAGCTAAGACAAAATGTGATTTCTCCTCTCCTCCACTAGCCGTGGAAACTTTAATTTCATAAGCATGGAAATTTGAATATTATGAAAATAAAGTAACCTATATTATTTTAAAGCCCTCCAAGGGAGTCTACTGCATAGCTGGCTTTCAAACTATTGGCTTTAATGGATTCTAAGCTTGTGAAAAGTATTTTCTCTTAATCTTTTCCAGAAAATACACTCAAACACTTTCTTGTGATGAAGGCAATATATTCTGGGTCTGAGTACTTAGGGGAGGAAAGCAGATTCAGTCAATCTTTGTTCAAACAACACTCAATACAAAGCCTGATATACTTCCAAAACAAAGCACCAGCCTCCCTTATGTTGGGGTGCTAATGACCTTGAATACGTTTGTATTCTGTCATTTACGGTTGCAGCAGCAGGAAGAGTAGAAAAGCTATTTAAGAAAGTCCAGCATGAGGATGGACTTATCCTTAACTGCAGAAGTACAAGCAGAGCTTGGGAATTGGACACAGACAACAGGGAAATATAAGAGCCAAGGGTTTAGTATTTAGAGCAAAGAACCAGGGCTGCAGTTATAGAGAGCTGCTTCTATTTCCAGTTCTACTGCTGCCTGTGCACGTCACGAGGAGCCAGACATCGGTCCTCAGATCTGTGCTATTGTGGGTAATAGTTCCAGTCCCTAAGTGCCTTTTGAGAAGGTCACAGGGTTAAAGTGATATAACAGATGCAGTGACATTTAGTATAAACACACCACTTAGGCACAATCATTGTGCAGGCCAATGGCCTGAATGAAAGCTGTATTCCTCTAGTTTGTGAAGTTAAACTTTTAATCTGGAAGGAACGCCACTTTCTAGAGGACACGCCGATTCCATCTGCTTATCAGGATGAAAAATCTAGGAGCATTTTCTCTAACGTTTTACAGATTGTGGTGACTTGGTATGCAAATGACATGCAGACAAGGATAGTACAGCAAGGTGAACCTTATTCAATTTCTTTAGCCATCAATTTCAGGAGTCCCTGGTTTCCTGATGGATACACAACCAAAGCCTCTTCATAAGCCAGGAGGTTTTCAGTAACTCCTAGGCCTCCTATTAATCCTCCTCTCTCAACTGTCATTGAAAATATTTAAAATATGTCCCCAATTGGTGTCTTGGCAACCCCAAACTCTCTTATCTCAATTGACGGCTTAAAGCAAAACCCAAGATTTATCCTTTTACCTCATTTGCTCCTTCATTCACTAGCTATGCATACCTCAGTTTCTTTTCAGACAAGACCAGTCTTTTCCTCCCCATTTCCAGGTTTTTGAACTAATATATTGATTCTAAGACATGTATTTTAACATGTTATCTTTTAAATTTTTACTTATTTATTCATTTATTTATTTAATCTGAAACGCACAGAGAGTAACAGAAAGAGAGAGAGAGAGAGAGAGAGAGAGAGAGAATCTCCTAGTCACCGTTTTGCTCCCCAAATGCCTGAAACAGCTAGGGCTGGGCCAGGTGAAAGCCCAGAGTCTGGAACTCCACCGAGGTTTCTTACCTGGGTGGTGGGGACCCAAGTACTTCAGCCATCGCCTGCTAGCTTCCAGAGTATGTATTAGCAGGAAGCCAGGAGAGGAGGCAGAGCAGAGCCTCAAGCCCAGCCATTTCCATCTGGGATGTGGGCACCCCAAGCAGCAGCTTACCCATCACAGGAAACACCTGTCCTTTAACACATTTTAATGTCACTTTAATCCAAATGTGTCTCATAAGGAGTGGTAATTTATGATGATAAATACAGGATTTTTGTTTCTTTTTTGGAGGTATAATGGTGGTGTCTTAAATCTAATGGGAAAACAAAACCCAATGGCACTCCCCAGATCGGGGTGTGGCTGTCTCAGGCCTTGGCTTCCTGCCTAGCTCAGCTTCCTCATAGCAGCTCAGCTACACCTTGGTACCGCCTTACCCCCAAGTTCTCCTCCCCCTTCTACTGTTAATTTCATTCATAGCACTTCAGCAATTTAAGAAATACTTGCTTGTTGTCCATGTCCTCTGAAGAATAGAAGCTCCATGAAACAGTGGCTTTTTCTTGTTCTTGGCTGTATCCTCAGACCTGGTGTAGGATCAATGAGCATGTATTTGTTGGAGGAGTCACCAGGCAAGGATATCTCTTCCAAAGAGAATGATGTGACCTATTCCCACTATCTCAGTGTCTGAGATGAGTGGCTTTGTCCCCATTGTCACCACCACTACCATAAGCAATTGTTGCTTAAACCTTTACGACCTAAGAAGTGGCCAGGATTCCAGTGTAGTGGACAAGATCACAAACAGAAACAGAATTCCTATGGGGAAAGGCATTTAGCAAAAACTTACTATTTAAAATGCCTCTGTCTTGAAACCCAATGTTGGAATGAAGGGCAATGGAGTCTCAAATCTGAGGCTTGGGTAGTGACTGATGAGGATAAATCTTCTTCTCAAATTTTGTGGTGCATTACTTGTACTTTTAAAAAATTAGATGAGGGGCTGATGCCATGGCTCACTTGATTAATCCTCCGCCTGCAGCACTGGCATCCCATATGGGTGCCGGGTTCTAGTCCCGGTTGCTCCTCTTCCAGTCCAGCTCTCTGCTGTGGCCTGGGAAGGCAGTGGAGGATGGCCCAAGTGCTTGAAGAAGAGCCAGGAAGAAAGCTCCTGGCTTTGGATCATTTGGATCATTTGGGGAATGAACCAACGGAAGGAAGACCTTTCTCTCTGTCTGTCTCTCTCACTGTCTATAACTCTACCTGTCAAATAAAAGAAATTGGATGAAATAAGTGTATCCAAAGTGTACAAATGGCTCAAAAGTTTTGTTTCTTGGAGATTGAATAATACAGAACCAAGTGGGCACTCAAGCACTGGGATTCAA